TTAGTTGCTGAATACTGGGGAGATGTTCAAGGAAGAACCATGTGGGAAGCTGGGGCAGAAGCTGTTTACCAGTCTAGAGGCATTTGGGTATTTTAAACACCAGTATTGTTGTTTGTCTCTGATATGTAGCGAAAACCCCTGTAACCCACTAAATGATTATAGCAAGTAATATTAGCATTATAGTAGTAATATTAGCATTATAATGAATTGATACGAAGCACAGATAATTGATTATCCGTGTTTCGTATCAACCTGTTATCCTCATTTTATACACAAAGACATTAAATTTCCAACAGGCTAAGCAAATTTCCTAAGTAGCGAAACCAGCGGGTCTGGAATTAAATCCTGACTCTGCTAGTAGAATTAAGTGAAATGTGTGTGAAGTTCTTAGACCATGTCCTAGCACATTAGCATGTGCTCAATAAATGTTAGTGATTTCTGAGCCCCTTTCAATTAATGTCAATATTTAATTAATGTTAATTATTGTCAGCATTACCTAAAGGCCATTTTGGTTGGGTGGCCGGGCATTAGTGTGGGAGGTGAGATAAATGGAAAAAGCCAAGTCAAGAGCCTCAAGTGCCAGCATAAAAGCTTTGACCTGGTTCTGGAGACACAAGGAATCACCGGTTTCTGAGCAAGGACCTCCAAAATAAAACTCTTCAACCCTCGCGGGAGACAGGTCCCAAAGAAGTGAGAGAGGGGCACATGATCTGCTCAGAGTACATTCGCCTCCCCGAAAAGGGGCTAACCAAGGTTATCTGGGTCATATTAAACTTTAACTGCAAAAGGTCTGAAGATAAAAAGGAAAAAGGGATTTCCATCCAGTAGACGAAATAGCTTTGGAAACCAACAATATGCATCTGTGAGTGATCGTTTTATTATGTAAAGTAATACAATTATCACAGATAAAAATCCTGAGTCTCCTACAAAAATAAAACGAAAAACTATGACTTCAAGGCCTGAGTTTTCCAAATGTATGACAAGTTTATTAAACTCAAAATTGTTGTTGGAAAAAAAAGTGTCGCTGGGAGGTCTCAGCTGCCTTGAGGACCTCACAAGCTCACGAAGGAGACAACCACAAAAATAAGAAATTATAATACAGAGAGCTTTGTGCTGAGATAAATTCTTCCGTTTGTCCACAGAGAAGGAGGGCTCAGGATTAGGGAATGGCTCCTAACCCTGTTTTAGAATGGGGGCAAAAGGCAAAGTAGTCTTCCTGGAAGAGGTGAGAACCAGAGGACTAGCCTGGCATGGGAGAGAAGGCTGTTCCCAGCAGAGCAACATATGCAGACTCAGAGCAAAGTCACCAACTCCAGTAACGCGAAGCACTGTTTTCTTTCTGCAATGCTCTGAATGAACCAAAGCTCAGAGGGCACAGGTAGGTTATCAGGCCTGAAGCACCGAGGTTTATATATACTGCTCTGTTGATATATTTCACAATTAAAAGTTTTAAATATCAAAAATAAGCAAGTGCAATGTGTGATTCTGGAATAGATACTGGTCTATTTATTTATTATATTTATTATTTATTTTTCTTCCTCTATAAAGGCGTTAGAACAATTCGCAAAATCTAAATAAAGTCTATAAACTAGATAAATGAATGAATGTTCATTACCTGATTGTGATAAATGCACTGTAGTTATGGAAAAGAATGTTCCAATCTTTAGGAAATACACAGGGAAGGATTTACGGGTAAAGAGACATCATGTCTGCAACTTACTCTCAAATGGTTCAGAAAAAATACAAAGAAGATGACCAAAAAAATGTGGCAAGATGTTAACATTTGAGGAATTTGGGTGATGGGTATTTAGGAATTCTTTGTACAATTTTTTCCAACTTTTCTCTAAGTCTGAAATTATTTTTAAATAAAAAAATTAAGAAATCAATAAAGTTAAACAGAAAGAAGTAAAGAAGAAAGAAAAGAAGGCAAAAAAGAGGGAGAGGAGGGAAGGTAAGATGGAAGAAAGGAAGAAGGAAGCAAGAAAGGTAGGCAAATTGTACCTTAGACTGCAAAGAACACCAGGTAATTTCAAGATCCAACAAAACAGAAAACAAAAATACACACACATACACAAATTTTTAAATAAATAAATACAGGTAAGTCCAAGGAGAAACAGTAGACGACTTTGGCTTCACAGAACAGTTTCCAACTCACAACTCCTTTGCCATTAGCTGTGTAGCCTTGGGTGTTATGAGAGCTCTGTCTCAATTCTCTTACCTATAATCAGGGTAATCACAGCCTTATTCCAAGGTTGCTAGGAGAGTTCTATAACAATAAAGCAGCTGCTTTTCGTTCAGCACTCACTACCCTCAGGCACTCTTCCGTGCTTTTCATAGCTGAATCATTTGATTCATACGTCAGCCTTAAGAGGTTTCTAGTATCCCTGTTTTACAGTTAGGTAAACTGAGGCAGAGACTCTCACGAACACCCAAGGTCACAAGTCAGGAGGGGTGAACCCAGGATGTGCACCAAGTATGGCTGCAGAGAGGAATCAAAGAAAAAACACAGGCCTGGTACAGAATAGTTGGCAGGAAATATGGAGGACCTGAGATCGAGAGGAAGACTCTGTCTCTTCAGTGCCAATCCCCCACCAGCCATGGAGCTGCACCCCTAGGAAAGACCTTGTTCACCCTCATCACTCTCCCTAACAAGGAGCAAGAGGCTCAGTGATGGACACAACTTCAACACCAGATACTGCTGTTACTACAACCTAGCTCCTATGCAACACCTGGGGGAATACCGCCATCCTTTCTTTTTAAGACTTTATTATTAATACATTAATAAATATTGGATGTTACCATCACTACTACCGGCACCCAATCATTAACACTGTGTTGATTAATGGCTTGCGTTATCAGAATGCCACCCAATACATGTGAGGGCTTGCTGCGTGCAGGCAAAGCACTGTTCTCAGATCATGCCCTTGAACACTCACCAGCAGCCTTAGGAAGTAGGTTAAGATTTATCATCCCCACCTTTTCGTTTAAAAAAAAAATCTCTCCAAGGGTCAGCTGCCCAAAGTAACCCCCACCAACACGCCAGAACCTAGATACAGCCCCCGACAACTGCAAGGTTACTTTGGAAAAGGCCTACATGTGATGCAAACTCCAACCCCTTCCCCAGAACAGAATGCTCATCACATTCTCCCCTGGCCACTGAGCCTGGGATCACTCAGGTCGGAACCTGGCCATCTTGAGAAAACACAAAGAACTGCCAAGGCCTCTCCAAGCCTGCCCCACAAGCAGGCCAGAACACCCAAGGGCCCCTCACCTGGAAAGCTAGTCCATCTCCTTTTTTGGGGTTTCGAGGCCGGGACTGTTTATTTTGCTTCATCCTGTCCTGGCATTTGGTGCAGCACTGTTCACAAGATGGCTTAACAGGGTAGCCAAGGCCCCTGGGGTCTCAATACCTCAGAGAGGAGTACCAGCCCAGCTTGCTAATTGCCAGTTCTCACCATAGCAACTCACACCTGGGCTGTTCTAGCCCAGCAGCACCGAAAAACATTAATTGGTTTCTCATTCTCCAGTCCAACTCTGGGCCAGACCATTTAGGAATGCAATATTATTAAGGCATACAACTATAATCATAGAGGTAGCTAGGATTATAACCCATTTTAGTTATGAAGAAACAGAAGCTCAGAGGTGCCAAGTCCAACTGATGCTAAATTGATACATGTGCATCCCTGTTCACACATCTTTATCCCTCTGCATGCACCAGATGACCAATATTAACCTCTGGAGAGATATTTAAGTCTTCGTGGGCTCTTTTTCTTTAACCAAAGGCTAGAGGTATTGAGACATGAGGATCATGGCATGATGGGCTCTGGGCTTGGGACACCTAGCTGGGTGGCCCCAGGTGAACTTTAAGATGGAACTATTGAATGGAGTTGCAATGTTAAGCTTCCAAGAGCAACAGGTAAAAAGTTCCACCCAAAAAGCTGAGGCCAAGAGCGGCTATGTTAGAATCATGGGGCCACTCCCAACCAGTCCTTTCCCTGGGGCTAAGCCCCCTCCCAGAATGTTGAAGAACTGCAACCTGACAATTTGGGAGCAGTGGAACAAGGTGCCCGAGGATCCTACAAAGTCATAAGGAACCGGGAGCATCGGCTTCAGTGTTCTCGAGTCATTTAATCATGTTGATCAGCTACCCAAGGGCTGTAAGAAATTGTCTAAAGATGGCTGTTCCAGACATCAAGACTTTAAATGAACTCAAACACTCCAGTTATTTGCTTTGAAAGCCAAGGTTTAGAAACCAATTCACTAGCCCAGTGTGATCCCTGGACCAGCAGCATGAAATTGTCTCCACTCCACACTCAATGAATCAGAAACTCAAGTTGGGGCCCAGAAACCTCCACTTTTAACAAGCCTCCAGGGGAATGTGGATACACTGGAGTTTGGAGACCAGGGCACTAACCTTGTGTGTTTGGGAGTCACTATGGTATTCCTTCACTGTGCCTGCCGAATGACTAAATGACCTACTTCAACTGCCCACCTTTCTACTTTAGCCAGGCCCTCCCAAGCCACCCCCAATCTGATCTGCAAAAAAACAAAAGGGACACCAGACCGTTATAGAGAAATACTGATTTTAATTCAACATAATAAGGTAAACTCTAGGCATCTGTCATCTTTCAGCCTAAAAATTAGCAAAACTGTTGAAACAAGGCACAATTTTTCCCCATACTTGTTACGTGGCTCTG